TAGAGAAAGAGAATTGCAATAGAAAAGAGCGAGACAGCGCGAACGTCATGTTATTCGCGATCACGTACTCGCCTCCACGTAAGCGAAACAAAGAGATCGATCGGCCGAGTTGCGGGGAGCGACGACCATAGCTATGGTTCCTTTCTCTCTCTCTCTCTCTCTCTCTCTCTCTCTCTCTCTCTTTCTCTTTCTCGATTTACGGAAACGTGATTTGCTTCTCTTGCGGTCTCGCGACTTGGTCTCGCGACTGATCGCGAAATCAATGTGTCTTGATTGACGTGTGAATGAGTTAATAATAAAGTTGAGATCGCGCGCTGCCCATCAGGCCACGGAGGCCAGGCATTATCGGGATTGTTTGCACGAGAAGCAACCGCGCAGATAAAAACGGCACTTCCGATAGAGATGTTATTTTCCAGAATTTACAGGCGTGTTGTTCCATCAGTCCTGCGTTTTACGAATCATCTTTATACATATGTATATTCGTTGTTCCTGAACATCCACGAAGACAAACAGGGATCCATCAAAGAGTCACTGCAAATCCGTATGGGTCTGTTCCAGACAAACTTGCTTAAATGTATGCAAAGGAAGTTATTTAATTGCATTTCACGTATGTAGAATAGAAATGTGATTAAATAATTTTCTTTAAGCGTACCTTTTCTTACGCGGATATACAAGTTTGGCTGGATAGATTCTAAAAAAGATTATTTATATTGGCCGTAACTGTTAGCTTACTTGTTGTAAGCTATGAGAAATTGTTCATTCATCAGTCAAATGTGAGGAGAATAATAGACTTCATTTTCCTCACATTCGATTATGATTTATCTTAATTGATCCTTAATTATTTGATCATGCGAGATCAAATAATCATAGCGTTTTCCATTGGGAAAACTAGTGCAACACTGACGAATTGAATGCAAATTGATATTTTTAATGTTAATAAATAATTTAATTCTTTTAACGTTATCGTGACAACAAAGAATACGTAATTAAAAGGTTTAAATTATTTATTAACACTGAAATATGTGAATTAATTTGCATTCAATTATATTCTTGTCAATGTGTATATCATATTAGTTTTCCTAGTGGAAAATACTATCAGTCTTTAGAACCATGGCACTCAGAAATACTTAAACAGTAAAGAAAACAACTGTTGAATTTGCTACACTAAAAAAAAATTTACTAAATTTTAATAAATATATATTTAAATAATACTAATTAAGGTTTAAGGATTATTATATCTATTATGTTCGGGACTCTTCAAACGACATCTCACAAACACTGCGGATTATTATATCTGTCTGATACCGTTCAACTGATGCCGATTAAGTGATTGTATTTATAAACGCGCGATAAGAGAGAATGTACATACATCATAGATACGTATGGGATTTAAACATGATATGCGATCACGTTTGTTGATCCTCAGCAATGATTTGGACCTGCGGATATCTCATTCGACGGATTTTTTGGGTCGCTGGCAGCATAGAACTTTGAATTTATTATAGATCGTCCGGACCTGTCAGGCAGGTTTTCGAATCTTCGCGTTGTCACAGATTCTTAGGACCGGTATTGTTGGGCTCCTGTAGTATTTTATCCACGAAGACCCTTTTGGAGTCAGGTGTTCGCTATTCCTTCGCGTGTTTAATATATTTCCTGGACATGTATTATGGAATTATTCGGAATGAATTCCGATCAAAATTCACATCATTCCTTAGATTTCTATTGTATTTCCCGTGTTCGGTCGCTTTCTCGGATTCGTCAATCTAAAATTCACAAGGAGTTTATCCACTATTTCAATATTTTTGTCAATTCATGGAGTTGAAAAAAATATCAGATAAACAGGAAGTATATTTTCAACACGTTTATTTCGAGTGCTTCTAAGAGAATCGCTTATAATGTGTTTTGAAGTCGAGATATATATAAAAAGATAATTCTATTTTCTCGTTCCCTATTTAGCACCTAGTCGTTTTTTCATTTTCGTCAATTTAAAATTCACTTCAAGAATCGCGAAGCATATCGAAATAACGGATAAATCAAGGAATAAACAGAAAGATTATTATGTTCCACGCGTTTATCTCGAATGCTTCTAAGAGAATCATTTATAATTTGTTTTGCAATCGAGATATATAAAAAGATAATTCTATTCCCTGTTTAATATTCAGCCGCTTTCTCATATTCTCCAATTTAAAATTCACTTCAAGAATCGCGAAATATATCGAAATAACGGATAAATCGAGGAGAGAGAGAGAGAGAGAGAGAGAGAGAGAGAGAGAGAGAGAGAGAGAGAGAGAGAATAAAAACAGGAAGATTATTATCTTCAACGCGTTTATCTCGAGTGCACCCAAGAGAATTACTTATAATTTGTTTTGAAGTCGAGATGTAGAAAAAGATAATTTTTTCCTCTGTCATACATACGTTCTCGTTCAGTAATCCATTTATCTCTAGCTCTCATCCCGCGATTTCCATAATCGCGGCGGTTTCTCGCCCGAGCGCGTAACTCTTGCGAATATGAAGCTTTTATACTCCGAATGCATCTCGGTCAGATCTATTGTCCGAACGTGACCGTCTTTGTATTAAAACTAACGGCATTTGTAAACGGCACGAGCGCGCTAATCTTGTAACTCTCGTTACATAAATCCTCCTCTCGCGTGCGATCCAACGTGTCCTCCGGATTAGAGGCCGATAAAAAAAAAAGATACTTATCACGTACGACCTATTTGTCAATGTGCGAAAAATAATTCTCGTCGATGAAAGGAAACAACATTTTCTCCGTTTCGTAACAAACGTGACTGGGCGACTTATGGAAAAATAGAGTGATATCGAAATAAATCGACACGAATGGTGTGTCGAATCAGATATTACTCGTCTAAAAAAAGAGGAGTAATGATAAATCGCGCACTCTGAGTATACAGTAAAAAAAAAGAAAAAACTATTAACGATTAAAAAAGTAGTACTCTTTATATGCGACGATAAAATAAATATATCGTGTCGAGTGAATCAACGTTCGAAATGCTTTTCGTGAGACCGGTAGTAGAGCTTACTTAGATCAACCATAGCCATGAGCAAGCGCTTCTTAATACAATTGGAAGTCTTACGCAATATGATTTTCACAATCAGTTTTTATCAGGTTATACATTTTTTTCATATTTGTTATTCTTAAATATAAGTCCTTAAATATAAATTTCTTATCGAAATTCTTGTGTTTTTTTTTTTTAATTATGATTCTTAGTACAATTTCCTTATAGAAATTTAAATTTGTTGGTCAATTAAACACTTATTTTGGGTATTGTTAAAATATTGTTAATAGTAATTTCAATACTGAAAATAAGCAATTAATTGGCCAGTATTAAATTTCTATAACGGTTGGAAATATTAAACATAATTAGAAATCTTATGCAATGCGTATGGTTTTCATTTTTATAATGTCTTTATATCGAATTTTCCACATTTTCTTTTTTTTATCATTCGTCTATATCTTTAAATACAAGTTTCTTATTGAAATTTTTTTAAATTTCGAAATTAAAAAAAAACCTATTTAAAATCCTGATTCTTAACATAATTAGAAATCTTACGCAATGTGTACGATTTTCACAATTAGCTTTTATAAGTTTTTTATTTCCATTTTGATTTGTTATTCATCTACGTCGTTAAATATAAGTTTCTTATAAAAATTCTTGTCAAAAGAAGATTTCTAAATCCTGATTCCTAACACAATCCGGAAATCTTACGTAATGTGTGATTTTTATAATCAGTTTTTATGAGTTCTGTATTTTCTTTTTGATTCATCGTTTTACATCTTTAAGATCTGATCATATGAGCTTCTTATCGAAATTCTCGTCACAAAAAGACTTTAAAACTGTGATTCTTAACAATTTGGAAATCCTTCGCAATGCGCAGTTATCACAATTAGCTGTTGCGAGTTTTATATTTTCTCTTTGATTTGTCATTTGTCTACGTCCTTAAATAAGTTTTTTATCGAAAATTCTTGTCAAAAGATTTTTTTTTTTTAAAATCGTGATTCTGTCGTGACAACTTTTTATCATAACCTTCGCTACAGCCAGGGTCAGCTGATCCCGCGCCTCACAGCAAAACACAACACCTCATTCTGAATTTCTAAAACAGGTTTTTCTCCCCTCCGGGATGCAGCCAGAAAGGAGGTGTGTATGTACGCTCTTCGTCTTTTTACATCAGGAGCGCGGATCTCTCGATTTTTATCCAAATCGCCTACGCTTAAAAAACCCGCTACCGAGCGAAGGGCAGTAATTTCACCTGCGGTTTAATACGCGCGTCTCGTCGCGGCGTTAAAAGCCGCGATAAAAGGTTACGCGACGTAATGCACGTCGACGAGAGATGAGAGTAGGCAAGAGAGAAAGAGAGAGAGAGAGAGAGAGAGAGAAAGACAGAGAAAAGGGGAGGGAGAAAGAGAAGAAAAACAAAACGAGCATCGTGGGTGAAAAAAAACTCGATGTACCGTCGTCACCGGCGGCAACAGCGGATAGATCCCCTCCGAACCGAAGAGGATCGCACTCGCACGTTCTCGCACGCTCTCGCTCGGTCGGGGTGCCGAGCGTGACCGAAGGCCGGCGCGAGTATCGCCGGAAATAGCCGAAGTGCGAACGTACTGCCGAAACGTCACGTAGGCGATGTTGCTAGGCGGTCGACCATAGGCGACGTGAAGTGAAGGGAATGGCGGAGTATCCTCGAGGTGGGATCGCCCGTATAAAAGTCGCGTCAGCGACCGGCGGCCGATCAGTCGAAAGGGTGAATTTGCTGTAGATCTTTGTCAAGAGCTCTCGATTCGCTATCGCTCCGGTGAAAGCTTTCGGTGTTACGAATCCGGTCGCCGATTGTCCGTCGTCAATCTGTTCCCCGTGACCGCTTTTCTCGCGTTTCCAATAGCTTCGTCCATCGTTCACCATCGACATCTCTTTCTCGAGGAAAATCGCGCTGCCGTCCGGCAAGGCCGACGAGAAAGCCGTGTCCATTGTGCGTCCGCCGCTACAAGACTTTCTCGCGAAATCATGGAGGTCCTGCCGTGTCCTGTCAATGTGGACTTCAGCAACACCCGAGGTGAGTGCGTACAGATGTAACGGCTGTCTCGCGACGCCGGTTTCCCTTTAATTCCTCCGTTCTCGCGCTTCAATTGTCGGCCTCTCCGTTTTCTCCTCCATCGAACCGTTGTTCTCAGCTGACAACGCCGGCCGCAATCAGCTGATTTTTGCTTTCGCGACGTTTCGTCGGCTGTATCGCTCGAAAAATTTACTCCGATTTCTTAATACGGACGAGGATTCAATTTCAAGGCACACCGGCAAAATTTACCGGTGAAACGTCGAATTATAGTTGCGTCAGCGTCGATCTTCCGATCGTACGAGGGGGAGGGGATGCCCTTCGCTGTCGTTTTTCCATGTTCCTCGATTGTTCTTCGTTTAGCTTTCCACTTCTAGTCTTCGGTGTTTATAAATGGAATTTTCCTAAAATTTAGCGCTTTCGATCGTCCGGTAAATAAATACGGATTAACGGACACAAAGAGAGTTCAGTTTTAATTGCTTTTTCGGATCGTTATAGAATACAAACAAGATTTCGTCAGTTAATAATGCAAAAACTATAACGTGCATGTATTTCTTTTATTAGGCAATCGATCATATTTTATAAATCGCTTTATTGTGAGATTTTTTTATTTTCGATTTCAGCAGTTTTGATGATAAAAACGAGAGCTCCAGTAATAGTTTCAGAAATGTTAGAACACAAAACGGAAGAGTTGATTGTCCAAGTGGCATAGAACGATTGTGATTTTTGTTATGCGTGACAAGATAGATAAAAAAAAATCGAGGTCAAACGAGTTCGTACGAGCTTACCTCTTCGCCGGCCGCTAGAAACAATGGTCGAGGCAGGCTCGAGATAGAATCGACCGAGTGATCGACATACATCTATTTCTATCAATGTAGATTAACTTTAATCTAAATTTGACTTACTTTCTTTCGAATTTTTAGGAGCAGAAAAAAATTCTTAGAAAATAATTAGAACTAGAAAAGAGTAATAAATAAATTTATCAACTAAGGCCAAAAATGACAAGATTTATTAAATAATAAATTTATTTCATATTACTTAAATTAACAGAACATCACTATAATTTCATAAAAAAATAAGTTAAACCGAACTAGAAAAGAGCAATAATAAAATAAATAATTTATCAAAATTGAGGCAAAAAAATGAATAAATTTATTTATTAAATAATAGATTTATTTCATATTTGTAAATTAATGAGCAGGACATTGCTATAGTTTGATAAAAAGTAGATTAAAACTAACTAATCCATATTAGGTAGAAATAAGCAATAGAAAAAAAAAAGAAATGTTACAGTTTAGATATTTTTTCGACGATCACGCATTGAGTAAAAAAATGCATGGCAAGGTGGGAGACTCGACGTTGGTTGTGTCCTCGCTCCTAACGACTGTTCTTTGTTATGTTATACAGACGTCGGTTTTAAATAATAAAACGATGATCTCATCGCTCGATTAATCGAGATTATATGCTGCGATCAAGTTAATGCGAGCGTAAAATTAGCTAATATCTAGAATCTACTTGCGGAAACAAGAAACACTGATTAAAATTACATTTGAGTTCGGATTATATTTAGATGGAATGGCAGATAACGTGAATCATCATCGAGAAACAAAATATGTTTTTTCATTTCGCCTGTGACTTTCGATTACATCCGATATCGGTTGATTTGTTAATACCTAAGATTATGTCAGTTCCTACTTTTTATCTCGGAAGATATTAAATAGAAGGCTATTATACTTTTCACATATTTTATTATGACATTTTTTGGGCGAAAATTCGTGAGACAATTAAATTACGAATTATTATCTTAAATAATAATTTTTATTTTATTAACTAAAAGAATTGTTATTTAGGATAATAATTCGTTTTTTAGGATATACTATTATTTATCTTAAATATGTAATTTAATTGTTTAATTTGCATTAACGAGACAATTAGTTCAAATTAATTTCATTTAGGTTTTGAAGTTAATTGGGAGAATGACTGTTGAGCTGTCTGTGTGTTGAAGCTTGAAAATAGAAGAAAAAGTGATCTGCCACTTTCTTTTCAATTGACCGCTTTAACTAGTTTATTCACTGGGAGGCTGAGAGAGCGCACGCGCTTAATTTCGTTTAATTAATTGTTACAGCTGGAAACGAGACGGACGAATTGGACGGTGCCTGTCAGGCGTTGGCGAAGAGGCTGGAGGTTGAACTCAGAAGGGCTAAACACGCCCAGCTGGCTTGCGGCGAGGTTCTGCTACCTGCCGATTTGCTGCCCAAGATAGCCAAAGATGTACTTACGATGGCAGAGAATGAGCCCTGCGGCCTTCGGTAAGTAGAATTTTCCATGTTGCCGAAATAACCCTTCCCTTTCTCAAGTGATTCGATTAAATCAATACGATCCGCGAATCCAGATAAATATTATTTCGCGCAACAAGTGTCCATCTGGAAAATGTGGAAAAACTTTTCTCCAAATTGTTTTTTTTTTCGCGAGTAATGTTATAGGAAATATCATTAATTGTATAAAATATTTGAAGCGATTTTTTTTCCAATGAAAATTTGATTGAATTATATTTTTTTTCATATTTTTTAATAGTTTTATTCGGTTATTAAAAAGATCGATGCTAAAAATAAAAGTGTGTAAACTTTCCTCGAGTATCTCGATTCGTTATTGCTATAAATGCTTTTCCAGAATAAATTGATATGTTGTCTAAATTTTCAATATCTTTGAAAAATTGATGTTTGCTTGTTTCAGAGGCTGTACGTTGTTCATCAGCTTCGAAACGGACAGCATGTGCCGCAAACTGTCGAGAATACAGTGCGATCCCAGTACTGTGTCGACATTCGAGCTCTATCTCACGTTGAAACAGGACCACACGTCCTGGCATATGCTGCTGCCTCAATTCTTAAAGTGAGTATAGATTTAATAAAGGAGAATCTTGCAATTAGAATCTGATTTAAATCATTTTAAATTACTTGTGTGTTGTAAACTTAATTTTATATAAAATTATTTAGCTCATTCTTTTGTTTGACTATCTTCAGACTGAGATAATACTCTAGATAATATTCTAGATTCTTTTATTATATTTTATAATTAGCTGTTTTTATTTACATATTTACTTCGATAACATGAATTGCAAAGCCGCCTTCACTTAGATTGTATGATTAGATCGTATCTGAATAATTTTTATCCACTCAGCTTTTTCGTTTCCACAAACTTCGCGTTGCAAAATATACATTTTGTAGATAATGCGATTAGGTGTGATTGTTTGATGTAAGGAAACTTAAAACGATTTGTTGTTTTTTTTCCAGAAATCTCACACGTGGCGGTACCATCATGATCAGTAGGGATTTTACTTTGCAAAAAAAGAAACTCTACAGGTCTTTCCAGCAATCTCATTGAAGTATCTCGGGATCACATACCGGAGTTTTGCACATTGTAACGATCATCCGTTTTGCCTAAACGGGTGCGGCCATTTTTGTCAGTTAATTGCCCTATAGGCGTTGGCCAAATTCATACAATATCGAAGACCAGGAAAGAAAAAAAAACTAAGACGGCGGAAACAGAGGACCTGAGGTTAGATTTCGTCGTTGTAATGGCACACTGTAAAATTTGCGTATCATGGTCGCGATCATGCGAGGTGTTGCATTTAACCCTTTAACTTGGAAATTACATTTGAATTTTCTATATAAATGACACATTTCACTTACAAGAAACAGTAGAAACTTTTTGAATAAAGGTACTTGCACGTACAAGTGCAGGACTGAGATTGATCTGTATGTTAGAATTTATTCAATGGATGTGTAAAGAAAAGAAATAGTTCGTAGAAATGCTGCTTTACAGTGTAAAAATAGTTGCAGTTTGAACGCAACAGATTTACGAAAAGTTAGATCTCGCATCCAAGATCTAATGATGCATAGATCTAAAAGTTGAAGAATCTATATGTCCACCATGATCCATATCTAAGTTCTAGTTTAAAAAAAATTGGATCTAACACGAACAAAAATCCAGATATTTCAATCTATAAGATTAATCAGGGATTAAAGAATTCAGTTGAATTATATTTAATTGTAATCCAGAAAATAAGTAAACAATTAGATTCGAAGGACGCTAGAATTAAAAAAATATTTGCAAAGCTAGTTTATAAGGTATGTAGAATTTGAAGATCATTGGGAGTTGAGGATCGTAGAATTTAAGCTTTCCAAAATCTAGGGATCTAGATTTGGAGTTAGAAGTATTGTAACGATAAGGATGAATCTAACATGTTTTCACTGTTGAATGGCGAGTTAGTTAAAGGGTTAATGACAACATCATCGCTTTTTTGTTTTGCTGTCACCATGCAATACTGTATTCAAGGAGAGGCCTATTACGCGTTCGATAATTGTGATAGCGCGCGAGACAAGTTCTAATAGTGGTAGATCTTATATCGCGAGGAGGTGGTCTCTCGCATCTTCGTTCTTGAAGAGGATATGTGATTATAAGACTTGTAACAAATTTCACGTGATACGTAGCAAGTATAATTAGTTTTTAGAGCGCGTTTTACTGATTAATCATAGTCAGGTAGCTATTAGTGGCGTCGGATGTTTAGTGATCCTTCGAAGTTCGTGTATGTGTGTCTCTCACGGATGAGCACACATTGTCCATTTTTCATTGTGAAATGTGAAATGATTATGCTGGAATAATATGTGACAGCATATTCTCCAAATAGCAACTTTTTATGGATATCTTGCAGGATAGTCCCAGAGAGAAATAGATCCTAATGAGAGACTATCATTTTGTGATTAATCAAGTCACTATTGATATTAACATAAGAATAATTCGAATATATAATCATATAATCGAATTGTATCTTACATTGAGAAGCGTAAGAACTCGAATAATAATTCACATTTTCCAATTAATTTTTACATTTTCTGTCAAACTTTCGAAAACAAAATTTTTGTCTTAAAAATCAACAAAAGTAATTTTAATAGGATGTTCTCATAATGCACATTTTTTGGGACATCCTGTATATCCTGTTGTAGATGATACAGATGTTCAGCCCATACCGTCATTCCATCGATCGATCTTTCTCCCTCGTCATTTTCTCCCTTCATAACAGTCGCTATATGAAAAATCTCTTTACTTTATAATAACATCTTCTCTCGATGTCGCGATGCTGATGATCATTTCTGCGATATCATTAATAAATATATTAATATTTGTCTCATTACCGGGTGATTCGTCTCGACAGTAATTTAAGCCATCGAATTTGTCGGCGCAAAGCAATACGCTTTCGCCTTCTATATTGTTAGTGCGTAATATTTTGTTTCAGTTAAATTTAAATATTTCGCGTTTTGAGATTTTTGGTTCTGCGAGGTATGAAATTATTTCGATGAATTCTGTGAAAAATTCAAAACTTATGAAATTCGTCACAGATGTTTCGTTTAGTTTGCGGGACTAAGAGAAGAACCTTTAACGAAATAGAGTAAAGCGGTACAATTTCTAACACTTCAAAATATATCTTAAACTTATTACATTAAGTGATAAAAATCAATCTTACTGTCTAACGGATAGTTAAAATTGTGTAAAATCATATGCAGACTAATGGCATAATTATATATCCACTAAGCTAGATAGTTGAACTATATATTTCTCGGTGTAATCTGAGAGATGATCCATCTTGAAATTGTATCGCTTTAACTCTGTAGCTTCAAATAGATTTTCACAGAGAAACAATGACGAAATGAGCTCGTCTTTGCTGTTTAACGTTGAAAGGGACGAAAGATTAGAGAGAGGATTAACGTTCTGCTATTAAATTATTGTTCACAATCTTCGCTTCAATTTGTTATGTTATTATATTATTATTCGTTGACTACCGTACGTACTACTACTTACGTTGTGGTTAATATCTGTTCGTGTTTTCTTTGTGTCTAGATTTTTTTTACTTCTTTACCCTTTTTTTCGTTCTGTTTTTTTTTACTTTGCTTCGGTCGCTTTTCGTCATAGTGCGAATTAAAGACCTTAGTGGCGGTATTGTGATATTAAGAATTACGAAGTGATTAAGAGAAAGAAGCAAGTGTGTGATTATCGTTAGGATTTAGATTAAAGACGCTCATATATAAAGTTTTCTTCGCGGGGTCGAGAGAAACGAGTTGCGTAGGGATAACCAATCCCTTCCGTTTTACCTTCGCGCACAAGAGAGAAAAAGTACATTGAAATTGAAAACCTCTTCGTGGTTACAAAGGGTGGCGACGCTTTAACCGGTAAATCGAATATTTATATCAGAAAGTGAGGTTTCCTTTTACGAACTGAATTACAATAGGATGCGTATCGCAACGAGACTCAATGGAATTAGATTGAACTCGGGTTTTTTTGTGATAATGTGAAGCTGTCTCTTTCAAAATCGGCGAAGCAAAAAACCGATGTTGCAAGGAAATTCACTGTTTAAGAGAAAAAAAACTGTATGAAAAGATTTATTTGTATATATTTTATTTTATACGTTAAAATAAATTATAATTTTTATTGAAAAAGAATCTAATCTTTTTCATACGCTCTGTAATTCTATTTTAAAATTTGTTTCTTGTAATTTCGTTATTAATGTGTACAATTAACTAATATTTTTTAGTAAAGGATTTCGGTTATGTAACCTCGTGTGT